GAACAACGCCACTCACAAGAGGTGAACTCTTGGCGGCAAATAACAGCACAAACTCCGATATATCCCGTCATCTAAACTGTCGGAGAAGACCAAAACTCCAGTTGTACTACACTTCTTTTGAGTACTGGAATAGACTCGGGAATAGCTGTACCAACTCTACATGAAGACCCGGAAAATAATGCTTCTCATAAAAATTTGCATCTTAAATCATCGGTTCCACAGTTATACTTCCCTCCACAATAGGGAGGTCGTAGAATTTTGAGTATGCTCCATCCAGAATGGTTCTGGATGGAGCATGTGGAGTCATCAGGAGTTTGGATCCCCTTCTCTACATGGTTGAAGACCTTGGCTAATCAAATCATCTAACATTTGCTCGGAAGCTAACGGGTTCATCATGACCTGTCAGGATGATATCTACACTTTATTATACCGTAGTCTACCAAACCTGCACCAGATGCAGGGCATGCCATAATGAGCCTGAGAACCTCAAGAATTTGATATTGGCATGTCCAGCATTTGCAGTCTACACCTATATCCACCGACATAATTTGGCATCACGAATGCTATTTTATCATCTTTGACACTATAACGATATTGACGGGACACCTAACGTTGTTACCTAATGCTTCGGTATGTTGATATGTTTAAAGAGAAATTTAACTGTAGGTATCATCAGTATTATATAATATATTCAAGACTTAAGAAACTTCTGCTTATTAGTTGCGACTTGGTACACTCTACAATATCGTATAATCATTTTCTACAATGAAATGTTTTCATGAGAGTTCAATTATGTTCATCACAACAAAAAAAATTCCTGATATATTCGATGATCTAGTAGAAACTAAATCATGTAATAAATGAAAAATATCACTCAACTGTTTTGTAGGTCTACGAGAGTATCGACAGCGACATTGATTTTGAGGTTATCTAATGGATTGTCACCATCAAGCCTGACCAGTTGAGCCAGATACTTCAGAATCGCCGTGGTTTGTGGGTACATTTTTCCATCGATTTCCAGAACGGGTAGTTGTCCAAGAGGAAGGCCTGAAACATTTGCAATATTCTAGTTGAGTACCGAAAACATACTTAATTTTAGTATACTTGTGGACGAAATTCTGAAGTGGATACATTTATCACGATTTCAGTAGAATACTTATTCTTGATTTCAGTAGAATGGTTATTCCTTTACTCGTGATGCACTATTTGGAACCGTTAGTGTAGTAATGAATATTACTGGAGTTTTTTCCCAACACCAAACCATTATTTTGACAACTCGACACGTGTTTCGATCACCAAGTGATCATCTTTAAGAGGAAGACTAAACTAAATATACTTACAAAGTTATCCTTATTTATACAATAGATACCTCTTGCAGGTACCTGCGTCTCAAGTGTCTTAAATTAATTTCACAATATTGCTTTATCTACTAGTCTTAAATTAATTTTACAATGTGTCCTTATGTAATAGTCGGATGAATCTAATAATGAAAATTTTATTTTAACAAGCTATATAGTATACTATTAGGTATTGGTCAACCATCGTTATTCATTATATCACTATGTTTACTTATTTCTACATTCTCATAGGCTTTTAGATGCCTGTTGTTGTTAACTTGTCTAACTAATCTTAATGAACTGAAGTCTTTGGAATGATTTTGTTGCAAAATATGATGGGTGACTGCTGATTTTTCTGGTCTTCCATATTTTAGGTGTGCTAGCTAAGTGGTCCTTATATCTTATTTTAATAAGATATTTTTGTCTGTCCGATGCAAAATGTTATGAACTGACAAAAAAAATCTAAAAAATATAGTTTAAAAAACATGCTTTTTAAGAACATCGAACTAAAAAGTTGAAAATAATACATACATGTGAAGTGGGTTCGAATTATTTTTACGTTAAGTACAGCGCCATCTGCCCGCGAATAGATCAAGCAATAATGTCGATAATTCTCAGATACAGATCCCGAGCTTGATAATTATAAACAAACTGACATACAAACAAACATACATAAATACAGGTGAAGCTCATATAAAGCGTATAAAATAATAAGATATAAGGAACACTTAGCTCACCTAAAATATGGAACACCAGAAAAATCAGCAGTCGTCCATCATATTTTGCAACAAAACCATTCCATATACTTCAGTTCATTGAGATTAGTAAGACAAGTTTACAAAAACAGGCATCTAGATGCCTATGAGAATGTCGAAATAGGTATGTAGACATAGGTGAACATAATAATATGAATAACGATGGTGGACCAATACCTAATAGTATATTATAAAGCTTGTTAAAATATTGACTTTTACATAAGCACACATTGTAAAATCAATATTGTGAAATTAATATAAGACACTAAAGACACAGGTACCTAGAAGAGATATCTATGGTATAAATAAAGATAACATTGTAAGTATACTTAAATTTTTCTTCCTCTTTAAGATGATCAATTGGTGATCGAAACACGTGTCGAGGTGTTAAAATAACGGTTTGGTGTTGGGAAAAAACTCCAGTAATATTGGTTATTCTTTTGATTGAGTTAGCTTTCCCTCTTGCAAACTCTCTCTTTTCCCCTTTCTCTCACTCTCATTCACTCACAACTCTCAATCGTTTTCAGCCTATTTTAGTAATTGAAATAGAGGAAATACATATTATATGTTAAGTTTCACTGAAAATTCAAAAAACAAAAATAAATATTGAATTTATTCAGTGTAATTTGTGTTATCAAATGAAGTTATAGAATTTGAATAAAATAACCTCTTATTTAATTGTATGTTAATAACCTACGTCTTGCCGAAGCTTATGTTAGATTAGGTTAGGTCCAAAGTGAGTGGGTTTATTCAACTCTCCACCGCAATCCGCAAGGGTTTATTGTAGCTCACATATATTCACACTCGACCAAATAAACCCAGCTCCTTAACGAAGCCGATTAGTTTGTATGGTGAGTGGTGTTTCAGGTCAGATGGTAAGAGTACGGCTCTGTCGAAGTCTAAAAACCAGATTCGGTCCCCAGCAGGACAGGCACAAAGTTAGCCGAAGCTTAGTGAAATATCAAGTTTGTAACTACGTGAATTCAACATGTTTCGTCAAAAAGGGAAGTTCTGTTCATCAGTAAGTTGTCACATTCAATAAATTTGCCCAGTAAAGAACTTGGTACCTTTCTAGACGTTTTGGAAACCCAATTCTTGATCCGCCTTCAGAATAAAAAATCAGCTATATTTCAGAATTTTCTTTTCGAAAGTTGTTTCATTTCCATATGGAAGTTATAGCATTAGCATGTCTTCGACCTATATGTTTCAAAAATAAAACTCTCAATTCTTCGAAAAAAATATATTGAATTCGCGCAGTAACATACCTACAGGTCTTTTTTTAGCAGATACCACTATTGCTATCTTAAAAACGGTAAGACTTACAAGGTCTGGTAAATTGGACAAAAAATTCCTATATTGTGTAACTAAAATAATATATTTTCACATCGAGAATATCAATGGTTGTTTCTGAAATATTCGACAAAACTAGAATTGACGAATTTCGTTTTTGACTCTGCCCCTTCCATTTCGAATGATATGAGAAAAAGGCAGAGCAACGTTCAATACTGTGTCATATTTGATGTAATCTGATTCAAATCAATTTGCAATGCGACTTTTCGTTCATTTTTTCAACAAAATTAATAACACTATCCATGCATATGAAACAGTATCGAAAATTCGAAATCGAGGCGGTAGAGTCAAAAAACGAAATTCGACCATTCTAGTTTTTGGCGAATATTACAGAAATAACCACTGAGGTTCCCCATCTGAAAAGGGAGTATTTTAGTTCCCCAAAATAGTAAACTTTGGTCCAATTTAACCGACCTTGTCGTTGATACCGTTTCCCAGATGGCAATAATGGGATCAGCTTTAAAAAACGACCTGTATATCGAAGTGAACTAGGAATTATATTTTTCTACTCCTGTATAAACTGCTCCATAAGAAATTAGTTTTTCGATTCGTGTAAGGTGAAGAGTCCTAGTAAATATCAATAAAAACTCCGAATCGTCCATAAAAAAAATACTTTTGTTAAATGAATTATTATCAGAATATACTCAAAAATGATCATTTCGAATCAGTTTTGAATTAGCATTTTCATTTAGTGGAGGAACACCTAATATCTACATCGAAAGCTTTTGAAAACATACTTAATTTTAGTATACTTGTGGACGAAATTCTGAAGTGGATACATTTATCACGATTTCAGTAGAATACTTATTCTTGATTTCAGTAGAATGGTTATTGTAACGGCCGAATAAATTAGAGAAAAAAAAGATATTTTAGCTATTCATTTTGATTTTATTTGTTCTTTTATAGATTTTGAATCATAGTTTAATCATATCAGACAATAAAAGTCCGAACTAATAAAATTCACCATGAAACATTGTCAACCACTTTCAAACATATACTTGTTAATTAGAGTGTATGAGTATAGGCTTTTCATGCTTTCCATTTGTGATAATTCTTTCTCGCGATTCAAAAATTTTTTTAGTGTACATAAAAGTACCAACGAGAAAAACATTTATTTCTGTTACTGAAGGAATGGAATGGTGCCACATTTTCCTTCATTTTTATAAAAAGGAGTCTTTTGAATGAAGTAATAACTTGAACACCATTATTCTCATTACAAGTAGGTTTAAATTATTCTGAATCAGTTTACCACAATTTATTAGAAAATGCTGGTGAAGAAAACTAATTCGAAAGAAAATTCAAAGCTCTTCGGAGCGATGCGTCACTTATTTCCCTTTTCATTCGAGATTAGAAGTGTGAGATCTACCTCTCTTGAACGGTTAAAGTAAGAAGGCTAGCAATATTCTTCGAAACCTGCCCTTTTCGAAAATTTCCTGAAAAGGAAGATATTGGGGATAAAAAGTTTCAAAATTTATACTTCAGTTACCTCAAAATCGATGACGTAATATCTTCCGAATAAATATTGAAAAATTGGCAATTGAAAAAGAAACACTACTTATTTCGAGGTTTTTGTTTGTATATAAGCGATTGCATTTGATTCATATCCTAACTATTTACTCACTCTGTTGATTCCTAAATGTCCTCCATTACTTTTGGCATTCTCTTCCAACCTTGACAAATAATATGGGAGGATTTCATTGTAGAGCTTATCTCCAAAAGCCTTTTTCTTAGCTGCGTCTTCCTCAAAAGTGAATTCGTAGATTTCTGTAATAAATGTCAGTATACATGTTACATAGATCAAACAGAGTTGTTGAGAACAATACGAAATTTAAAATAGACAGTGAGAAAGATGGTTTCAAAAAGAAACAAAAGCACCCTGTGATATGTTTACAAATATTTAATTGGTCGATTCCTGAAAGAATAGGTGTTGAAAAATTGAAAACAAACAAATTGCACTGCCCACAAGTCAAACGAAAGTAGTTGTTTAAAGATAGAATTTTGGGTCCTCATTTATTTGACGGAATTCTGAATGGAGAAACCTATCACCAGTTTTTGATGTCGATTTTTGAATACAATTTGGATGATCTACATTTGGCTAACTATAACAACATCTGGTTTCAACATGATGGTGCTCCATCGCACACTACCAGACGAGTATCTAATTACCTGACTGAAAGGTTTGATAATAAATGGATAGGTGAAGTGGCCAGCAAGGTCTCCAGACTTAAATGTTATGGGTACATTCATTGGGGTACACTGAAAAATAGAATTTATGGTCAGAGGGAATATGAAAATATTGAGAACCTTTAACACAGTATTGTTAGAGAGTTCGGAAGATTGAGGAGGAGGGAAATTATTTTTGCAGTGAATAATATTTAAAGAAGGGCACAGTTGTGTTATCATGAACAAGGCCATTTTGAGCATTTGCTGAGATTTACTTTTGTCTTTACATTTCAGTCAATTATTGTTGAAAAGAACACAATGTCTAATTTACCTCATACACACCTTATTTATCAAATTTTGATTGTTGATTCTGTCTCCGTATTTTTTCCTCGGCTTTTCAAATGAACATAGTTCGACGTAGTTGTCTTTCGGGATGCAAGTTTAAATACATTTCCGATGTCCTAACA